TCACCTTCTTCAGTCTAGACGAAAGCATAGTATGATTGGCCCCCTTCAAGAGATAAGTATGGCTCATAGTTTAAATAATGTCGACATATGTTAAAAACTAATTCGTAGCAGTAAAAGTATATTACATTGTTAGTTCAAAAATAACATGCTGTTTAAAAATTTCAGTGTTTTTCAAAGCTGTAGCTAAACTCAAACTTTATAGATCAGTGTCTTTGGAGATGCATTTATTTATATATTTAAACGCATTAGAACTTGGTACAATATGGCACCAAGAAGGATGCGCCACACAAGTGCAACTTAATAATAACCCAGAATATACAGACTATGGTCTATATCACCTTATTTTTGAATGACTAGTAATACCTGATGATGTACACTGAAGAAGGGAGAGATTGGATCTAAACGTTTGGAACAGTGTTTTCAAATCTGTTCTGTCCTGTTACACAAAGTTTTTATTTCAATATACATGATTCTTTCAAATAAAATTGAAAAAACACAGATGACAAAACATTTATTACTACAGTAACTCTCACCAAGCATTAGTTCACATTAGAGTAGACGAATAAATGTCTAACCACTATTGGATGTCTTCATTCTCTCTTTCATTTGATTACGTAATCCCAAGCTTTAACCTCAACCACTCCCCCCCAACGTTTGATATGGTGTAATTGTGCTTGTCTGTTGTGTCTATGATAAGAGTTGAACTCTACATTGTTACCTAATTTATTAGTTACTCATCATTTTATGCATCTCTCATCCTTATTACGTAACTCGTTTACCATTGTATATACGCATTTACTTTGTTTAAACTTGAACTTCCTGTGTAAAACTATATAGGCATAATTTTCTGAGCAGTGTTCAGTAACTTCGGAACCTCCTGTCAACTGACATCATGTAAAATTTGCAAGTACGTTAAAACTTTAATGTACATGAAATTCATAATAATTTATTCCAGCTGTTAGTAGCAGTTGATGAGAAGCTCACGAAATAAACAATGATGGTATCACCTTATTCTGCACACACCACTGTGTTGTTCTTGCCTTATTCAAATTCATCAAGGGGAATAGTTTTTGTAAACCCAGTTGCATTTTATGTCTTAAATGTTCCAAATATTACACATTTGTAGTGATTTGACTTATTTCTAGGTGCAAAAATTATCAAAGAACATACAAAAGCTGTCTCACTTTACATAGAAACTCATTATTGGTGTACAAATACAGATGTATATGAGATTCAGCACCAACGACCACCGTGTTATTGTGGATTTTAATTCGGGATACGATAGTTCTTCAGTTTACTTTGATTTTTTCGTTGTTGGTAATTCTCTGCTAAATATCATCAACTAACAAAGAAACATTTTCTTAATACCCACAGGGTTTGTCTTTCTTCAAGAAAAAGGCTGGTTAGTTTTTATTTTATAATTTGTACCTTTCTGAATCGCAGACAAGTGATTTTATAAAATAATCAGCTGCATTTTAAAATATTTGTAAAGTAACACAATTCTGACCAGAAGAGGGGAAAAACAATAAACGAAGAACAAAAACAACGAGCTCGAAAAATTCACTACAACTTATAAAAAGTAACTTTCTTCTTGCTATTAACCTTACCATTCATGCTAAAAAATACAGACGTTTAGAAAAATTAAACGACAATCGGAATAAAGGCACTGCAGTGTAAGTTGATCATATTTTCACTTGAATAGTTGAATAGCATTCACACAGATCTGAATATTTCAACAAACAAATAGAAATACCATATACCGTGTGTGTCGGTGGCACAGCGGTTAGGACGCTCGCCGACCATGTACATCGTCCGGGGTTCGATTCCTGGCCGATGCATACCTAATATCAATGGTCGGTCTGCTAAATTTGGGCTACCGATATCATATGCTGAAAATCCAGGACCCTTGAGTCGTGAGGTGGGCCCAGTTGACCAGTGAATCGGTGGTTCAATGGTAGAATGCTTGCTAAACCTCATGGAAGGTATCAGTTGGTGCGTGAGAGAAGGAGAAATGGTTGGCAGTTTCCTGCACAAGGTTGAACAAGGCACCTGTTTCCCACTCTCTTGAGCCATGAATCGTCCGCTACATCGGACGGCCTTTTGCGCGTCGGGAAACGACGGTTGGGACGCCCGCCGACCATGCACATGGTCCGGGGTTCGATTCCCGGACGTCAAGGCACCTCACTAAGCCAGCAATAAAAAGCTGGTAAAGATGGAAGGTTGGGCATGAGGCTATCAACCCCATCCTGTAAAAATAAACACTGCTACAAAAACTTCAAGCCTCTAGCTTGAAGCCCTATGCTCTGCTGGGAATGTAAAGGAATAAAAAATTTAAAAGAAGTGTTTCTAACTATTTTAAGACGTAGGGCAGTGTGTGCTACTGATAACATTTATCAGTAATGTATAAAAAGATGTTCATCGGCATAACAAACATCAAATAGCAAGGAGATACATTTCATGTCAGAGAAAGCAAATGATACAGCGTTTTGGAGATACATGGGACATGTGAAAGGAACACAAAGAAACACAACACGAAGGTAGGGTAGAAGTAGCCCAACACGGAAGATATGCGCAAATGCTGCGTACATACTTTGACTATACAGAGATACCAAATTCCAAGTAAACATTCTTTTACGAAGTCTTTCGTCTCCTACCGATTTATTACCAGCCCTATGCCATTTCTATTAGGTTAACTTGCTTAACACACTAAAGTGTGTTATGCATAATTTGATAAACGCAAATTTTTAGGTTTTGAATTTGTATATTCACAATTGGTAAATTACTTAGACAATCACTTTGTCAAGAATCAAATAATTCAGAAATAACTACCATTTAGGTTTAAATTTAAATGAACAATTACTCAGGGAGATTTATTCTGATAGTAGCGTTTATTTTGAACGAGATAAGATCCAAAATCTACACGCAATATCTTCTAGTATATACACTACAGTTTGATGATCATTAACAATTTTACTCTTTCGGTCAACCTGTGATATACGTTAAATATCGTTATGAGGAGTTCTCAGCTTTAATTTCAAACAGACTAACATGAAAAAGCGGTGTATTATATCATCACCTCGGTGAACTTATTTTGACACAAGTTACTAGTGGGCTGAGAACAAGTATTTAGTGACAGGATTTGTGGAAGGTTAACTTACAGCAGACTATCATGCCTCAGAAAAACAATCGAATGAATATTTCCGGGAATCATTGAAAATCTACAATTTTTTGTTCCGGTTCATCGCATTTAAATGTTAATAACTCAATAAGATGTATAAAAGCTGATGGCCGGTTAATGTTAAAAACCCAACCGGGAAACATTATTCCAGCTTCCCAACACATGTACTTAAATACTAAGAAAACATTTATCCACTTCACTCGCTCTATTTAGTGGGATGTCGGTGTAATGGGGTCTGAGTGTGAAATACTGCGTCTGCGTATTTAGGCACTAGATACTTGCAGGATATCTTTATTATATATGTATGTATAATATATCACTTATAATATCAATGAAAGAAAAAATAACGGAGGCGAGCATGAACCGAGTTCACGATATTCACAAAATGATATGAAATGCCTCTGAATGATATGCATATCATAATGATACAATAAAAGGTCCTAAAATGTTAGAGTTGCGACGAAATAACCTGATAAGCAATTAAAGAAAGATGACATCATAAAGCTATTCATTTTTCAATAAGAGATAACGAGGTACTGATAAATGAGACCACAACATAAAAAAATTTAAAGTTGACCTCTTCACTGAAAGACAAACAAGTTATTAGTATGATTTGGCACAACTATCATTTTCATATCGAGTGAAAGGTGTACATGAAGAAACTAACGAATGAAAACAGTAAGGTCAAATATAATAAAATGCCATATCGAAACGAAACATAACTTAAAGATTAAAAAGTATAATGTAGATTAAAGCACAGGTATACATTACTGGTCCAAGTGTTTTCGAGACAAACTGTTTGAGGTGAGATTTAGCCATCTTTATCACTGTAAACATAGTTGTACATATTACTGACGTGGTAGCTTCAATACATATAAGCAATGACTGGTTTTCTTAAGTTCTATAGCCTCATCACTAAAGGTTCAGAGCTACACAGTATGATACGATAAACTAACTGGTAATACAGTTGATCTAGAACAAGCAATCGTTATGTGTCTTCAGGGGACGAAAACAGGTATTTCAAATTATTTTTTCAACAAGTAGAGACCATAGGCCTATTATGAGACCATAGCATATCCAAAACAAAATAGTAGGAAGCAGCATGTTTTCATTTTCAGATTTTTGATGCTACCAAATTCCAGGTTAACATAGGATAAGAGAGATAAAACTACATCAATGAAGTGGAAAAACACTAATCATGAGAAGAGATGATATATTAAGAGAAAAATATTTTGAATGTAGGTGGCTAACCAAACTCACCAAAAAAAATTCTATGAGTAATTATTTTTCAAATTTGCAAACAAAACCACTACTTATGCCTAAAGATCATGATCGACTATGAATATGCATCAACGTTTCGTCAAGTTGCTGAACAATTTCTAGATAACTTGGCTAGTTCCGTATTATTTTACCAACCAAAGAAGCCACAAGCTGAATAAACAGGTAAATTTTCCAGTTTCCATTCAGTGCTCCGCAAAAAAGAAACATGCAATTACAATGATTGTTTTACACAATATGGTTCTTCCATTTTATGTCACTCAGAATCCACTCTATCACATCATAGGTACAGCAAGAGTCTGACTAGTAGAAATGCCTGTTTGTACACAACTTTGAGCTAATGCATTTCCACCATGTACATTTTTCAGTCATATAGACGTAATATATTTATCCGGTTAGATGAAATAAGCGTTAGAATCACACAAAAAGCAAGCAAATTATCAGTCAAGGAAGTAAAATATTTATGCCTTAATATACAGGGATAAAAATATGAAAATGCGGAATTAATTTTATTAAAAATGTGTAACCGAAATGAAATACTTACCTGAAGTCTAAAACTCGCAGCTGATCACCTTTACGCGCACTAACTTCCTCGGCTGTATGAGCTTCATAGTCAAAGATAGCCACATGATAATATTCGGCCTTGCAATTATCTTGTGTGACAGACAATGACTTTTTTGAATTAGCAACTAAACCACCCAGAGCCAAACTGAGTCTACTAGGTGAGCCAGTATTCGAAGGAATAAAGGGTTGATGGACAAGATAACGGGCTGATAAACCTCCAGTTGAAGACCGGTGGTCAGAATTAATTTCTCCCAAAAACATTGTTGGAGTGGTGCTGACTGTTCTTCCATCATAACTCGCTATATTATTTTCAAGATGCTTCAGACGATCAGAGTCAACAACAACGGATGATCTATATGGTTTTTCAGATTTGTGAGTTCCTGAATCTACTGTGAGTGGCGATTCCATTGCACTTCGAGTAGCGCTGGCACATCCACTACGAGAATATCTGTTACTCATTAGAAAAGGTATCATATTGGATGAGGAGTTGTGTTGTAAATGAGAATGAGACTGTACATGAATATTAGTCCTATAGGGTGTCCGAAAACTGTGCAAAATATTCTCATCTGATGACTCATTTAAGTGAGCATGCCAGTGAACTGGACTAACGGACAGCTGACTGTCTAAATTATCAACGTCGCCACTATTTCGTGCTGAAGTTTGAGATAAGTTCACAATTCTTGGCGAATTTTCAGTGGCTAACCTCTGCAAGTGAAAACCTGTAGTAACTGCAGCTTCCTTGATGCTTTCACCACAATGGCCACCAGGTACAACATTAATAATGGATGCTTTGGGAGTTGACAAATTCGACCTGCTACCCGAGTTTATATCCTTTCCAGTGAATCTTTCACGAGAATTGCAAGACGCAGTATTTTCGTGTCCACTTAACGATTTACCTTCATGTAGAAGTGCATCACTGTGAAGTAATTTGATGGAGCTCGATTTACAACCGTCTAATTGTCCTGAAGATCGTGAACATGGATTTTTTATTTGTCTTGACGTATCACGAATGTTAAGAAGATTGTGTTCACTAATGTTTTTATCTGTGAGGGGAGCAGATACGTGCTTTCTCGCACAATTACCCATCAAATGTACCTTGTGTTTCAGAACATCAGGCTAAGGATCCGAAAATTTGCTGACAACTCACCTTGAAGGTGCTGACACCACTCAATTATTTAAAACAAATGTTCTCTACGTTGAGGTGATTTAATTTCCCAAGTTATTAAAATACTTGGCCGTAGCAGTGTGAAAACTTACATGCTTTTTTATTCAATACTTCCGTCTAAAACTGGAAATCAACCTAAACTCTCGCATTCCTATGTTTTTAATTGAAGTAATATTAAAATCAAAACAAGATTTTGAGCGAACAATTGTTTTCGATAAGTTCTTCAGGCTCTACGGTTATAAATCCATGAATAATAGAGTACATATAGCCAATAAAGGCAGACGAAAATGATATCAGAAACTGTATTGGGGTGCATGTGTAAGTTGAGATGATAGTCCATTAGTTAACATAATCAATCAAATGTGTATAGGGTGTATAGTCAGATTGTACAACAGGCCCTATTTGATCGGGAACAGTGGTCCAATTTATGCAATAAATAAGTTCTAAACATTAGTTCAGCGAAACTGTGCAGGCCGTAAAGGGGCACCTCAGGGTAAGCCACCCCCAATAAGGGTTACACTGGACTCTGTCGAAGAGGCAGAAAGGATACTATTACTGGCACAGGTACTAGCCATCGACAGGAGTTCCATCATCCATTGCGCTTCTGGAGCAATCTCTATTTTCCGATAACCTCACCCCTCTCATCTCACTGATTATTGCTTCAAGGCTGCTAAGTGTCACATTCAACTCCCAGGAGCGGCTGGCCATAGTACTTCAACAGTGGTTTGAGATCAGAGGGAAAATGGAAGGACACATCCGATGCTGCAAAAGCTGACCTCGAACTATAAGGAGGCAGCAAAATGAGGCTTTGATACGTCCCCAAACCTCAGTGACACTAGAGCGATACAGTACTGAGAATAACATTCTGTGTCACCCAAGTGTCCTACCTGAATCCAGGCGAAAAACCACAACGGGCCGGTTCCATTGGAATGGGTCAACCAGTCCCAACATTAAGTCCCCTACCAGCAGACAACTTAACTTCAACTACCCCACAACACGCTGAGATTGTAAGACTCACTGTCAGCTGCCTATATAGCGAAGTGAGAGGACTGAGAGGAAAAGCAGGGTAACTCAGAAATCTCCAGTCACACCTACACCTTAAAATAATCATTCTCACTGAAACCTGGCTAACCCCACCCTCGCCGACGACGAAATCAGTATAGGTGATATGGTTCTGGTCAGGAGAGACAGGGGTAATAAGGAAGGAGGGGGAGTTGCCATATACTTTGATAGGCAACTTAAATGTATGCGCACAACGGACCCACCACTTATTGAACTCCCAGACTCCATATGGTGTTATTTCACCGTAGGCTACACCAAGCATTTACTTGATGGCATCTACCGATCTCCCATCTGTGGCGAAGAGCACAATCAGCTACTGCTCAGCACTATCACAGGGATACGAGACTTGGGCTATGACCAAATCACCATAGCTGAAGATTTCAACGCCCCATCACTGAACCTTGGCTCGGGGTATGCTAAGGGAAAATTCGGCCGAAATCTACTGCAAACTATTCGAAACACGGGACTGACTGGGAATGTTAGAGACGACACTAGGTGGGGCCCTAGTGGAAAGTCATCAAAACTAGACTACATTCTAACTAGTGACCAACTACTTGTCGAAAAGGTCCAGATAATGACTCCTCTAGGAAGCAGTGACCATGCAGTCATAGGTTTCGATCTCGTTCTCCGTGAGCACTTTCAGTCGGACGTTACGCGACCAAGTCTGTGTTATCGCAAGGCTGACTATGCTGAAATGCGGAGGCTCTTGTCCGACGCAGACTGGCCCTTAGCATGGGATGAGCTATCTGTGGATGAGCACTGGAAGGTGGTAAAAAAGTTTATTCACACAGTAATATCAGATACCGTCTCTTTCGTCACAACACAGCCCAAAAGAAAGTCATTATGGTTAAGGAGAGGCACTCAACGTATTCTGCAAGCAAAGCGGAAGGCTTGGTTTACGTGGCGCGTATCTAAGAGCCAAATCGACCATGATGCATACCTGCAACTCAGGAACCGGTGCAATGAAGAGTCAGGAGGCACAAGAGGTCATTCCAGGCTAACCTTGCTAAAAAACTCCTAGCGAACCCCAAAAACTTGTGCCGATTCATGTCGGAAAGAAAACCAACCAACCAGGGGGCGTGCGCCTTAGTAGGCCAAAACGGTCAATACCTCACTAGTCTGGAGATGGTTGAAACATTCAGTTTAGCCTTCGCCAAACAGCTAAACAGCGATGTGGGTATTACCGTTACGGACCAAATTGGTGGCATCACTATTTCACAGGAGGAAGAACAAATAGCCACCCCCAAATAAACCCTGCAATAGTGCTAAGAAAGCTGCAGTGACTCATACCTGGGAAGTCCCCAGGTTGTGACGACATCAGGCCATCTGTTCTGAAACAGTGCGCCGAAGCTCTCCTTAGGCCCTTATGCGACTTGTTCGAACACTCTACGGAATCGGGGAAACTGCCAAAGGAATGGAAAAGAAGCATCCTTTCTCCGATCTTCAAGGGTGGGGATAGGCAAAATCCCACCAGTTATAGACCAGTAGCTCTACTCCCAGTGGTATCAGAAGTACTTGAAAGTACTATTGACGATCACATCAGGGAATATCTCGATAGGTCTAATATACTCCATGAAGCCCAACACGGTTTCAGGAAAGGGAGATCCTGCGTTACTAACTTACTATCAGCTTGGGACGATTGGACATCATGCTGGGATATGAATGTTCCAGTCCATGTAGTCTTTCTAGACTTTGAGAAGGCATTTGACACTGTTCACCATGACCTTCTACTTCACAAAATAAGCCAGGCAGGTAAAGGTAAACCACTTCTGTCACGGTTAAAGAACTACCTAACTGAAAGGCAATTTTGCACCAAGGTCAATCGAGTCCGATCATCTTGGTACAACTCGTCATCAGGAGTGTCACAGGGTTCTATCCTAGGACCACTGATGTTTTTGATTTTTATCAATGATCTACCATGCCGTCTAAGCTGCCCGACTCTTCTATACGCTGACGACGTGAAGATATGGAGGGCGATAAAGTACCGGGAGGAGTCAAAGAGGCTACAGGAAGATCTAAACCTTCTGGAAGACTGGGTGGTGGCCAGTGACAGGAATTCCAACCTGAAAAATTGCAAAGTAGTGAAGTTACGCACCTGTAGACTACAGAATGCAAGTTACACCCTGTGTAATGAAAGCTTGTCCTGCTCAACGTCGGAACGTGACTTAGGTCTAGTTATAACGGAGAAAATGGACACAAGCGTAAATTACAGGGGGATGTAGCGAGGGCATATGCGGTCATACACTTTACACATAGACAGTTAGATGCACTCACTCCTGAGCTCTTTCTAAGGTTGTACAAAACATACGTCAGACCATACCTTGAAGTGCATAATATTATTGCACCCCCATTGCTTACAAGAGACGCCAACCTCTTGAAAAGAGTCCAACGACGGGCAACAAAAGGAGTGGTTGGTCTCCGAAATAAACCATATGATGAAAGGCTGGAGAAATTAGGCCTATTCACACTTAGTTACCGTCGTCTTAGGGGATTTAATTACTGCCTACAAAATAACAAATGATCAGAATCCCCCAAACAAAGGTGTTCTGCCATTGAGTAGGTATTGGTTCCCTCATTGGAATCCTAGAAGGATAGCTCACCAGAGGGCAAGGACCCAGGTGCGCTTCCCACTTCTTTTACCGTCCCTGGAATTCCTTACCGGCAGATGTAGCTATGGCACCATCTGTGGACGCCTTTAAGCGAAGGCTTGACAACCATGCAGCAACACAAGGACTGCATCCAAATGGCCTATCCCCTTTGGCATACACCATTCAAGGGTAGACAATTAAACTGGTCGTTTTACTTCTTTACATTCTCTTCCGTCTTACTCTCCTGACAGCTTTAACTACACCTATTATTATTATCATTATTACCGGTATATATATATATACCGGTTGACTGACTGTTGTTACGGTTTCTTATACTTTTTCTGTCTCTTAGTCTGAATACCTTCACTAATTATATCTATTATTATTATCTCTTTTCTATTGATGAATATACCGAAGGACCAGCTGGTGAAAGGATCAACTCCATTCACAGTAGTAACAGTTTTAACACAACTCATACTACAAACCAAATATAATTAATCCCTGTACTACTCCTTCCGGAGTCAACCAAAGCTACGGCAGTCGAGTGGCAGGGCGAGCTACGCAGAAGTTTATCGAAGATCAGGAACCTCTACCTCACGATCAAGAGGCGAGCACAAAGAAACCAAGTGGTTTATACTAGCTCATAAAAACGATTTCGGATGTGAATATTCATTAAACTCGCTAAACTATAAAATGGTTTATTCAAGTGTTAGTTCGCTGTTCTCAAAATACTGATGCGGAAAACAAGTACAGCTGTCTAATGTGTGTGTAAGTAACTGCTGTATGTCTAGGTAATTCATATCTAAATAGAAAAGTATGAGCTGAGATTCAATACAGAAATTTACACAGAAGGACAGAAGTTCAATTCTTCATATTCAATGCTCAGTATAGCGCACACACGTAGATAAAAGTGAAAAAAAATTTTCAGGAGAATTATAACTAGCAGTAATACAGCTGCACAACTTCCCCGATTTACCTCCTCTCCTTACCTAACACTCGACACCTTACCTCAACATTACTCGCCCTATTATACCACCTAAAATGCAAGAACCAAGACACCTAAGATCAAAGACAGCTACCCCCTTCATGTCTTTCACTTTCGATGGCTACGTTTCACAGCCATAAAGGACGACGGAGTGGACTGCTATGCAGTACACATGTCCTTCGATTGATAGCCGGATATCACATCTAAGCCACAGATAACGAAAATTAGGAAATGCTACACGAGCCTTCAGTATCCATGCTAAATGTATATCTAATATGTATACGTTGTCTTTTGGTTTTCCAAGTGATATTCCGATTTATTTAAACAAGAGAATATTTATTACTGTACACTTAGGGTCAATTAGACAAGGTTT